TATAAAATTTTTTTCATCGGCAAAGAGAATTTTTATGTTTTTTTCGTCCGAGTAACAGCTATTTTGATCTTCCGCGTCCTTTTTGTTTTAGAAGGTATGTAATGTGTATCTGCGGTGAGCCCCTAGACCTAAGTCTTGTTTAATAATCCGAGGAAGTGTCCTCGGTGGGATTCTCATTTCTCTGGAAAGGATTTCTTGCTTCCTTATAGGATTTCGGCGAATTCTGGCCTTGACGGCATTAATGGCCTGGTTTGTTCGAATAAACTGCGGTCGGTCGGATCTCTCACGGTAATCAACAGACATGATTTCAGAGTACCTTTGGATGGTACGATACATAAACATTCGGCTAATCCCTAGCCTTTTCAATCTTATCAAAAATCTCGGCTGGCTCCTTACCTACTTTGTAATTACTGCAATCCTATTCTCTTTAGTGTCCCACTCCATTTTCAAAACAAATACATCTATCTATCTATCTATCTATATATCTATCTATATATATAAAAATGAATCGCAAAATGTGTTGGTAAGCGCATAACTCAACAACGCCTCGACCAATTTGGCCAAATCTTTTTTTAAAATGTTCGTTGAAGTTCAAGGATGGTTTTTACGGCGAGAAAAATTAGAATTATTGCTGGAAAAAACCTAAAAATAGCCCTTTTCTTTTTCCCATACAAATGATTTGTAACTAAAACGTAGTCAATTTGAGCTTTATTGCTATGGTATAAAGTTCATATTAAATTACAAGCACTCACTGTTGTCTAAGCAATGTAGGTGTGTTCCTAACGTCAAAGATCATATCTATCACAAAACAATGTGCGTGTGTGCGTTGGAGCACAGAATACATAGTTGGAGGAGTTTAATGTCGCGTTCCGAAACTCGCGTTTCTTTTGTATTAGTTTCGGCACGCGAGATAAAATGCATCAGTTTCCACGTCATTACATGTATTGCCGGAACATTGATGAAAATACGCTCTGTAGTAGCAAAGCTGTTGGGTCCTAGATAGCTCATTGGTTAGAGCAGTCCCTGGATCGCGAATGGGTTCGAGTCCCATTCCGGGGTACAGGTAGATGGATTCTTCCAGCATTTTTCCTTGAGAATGTTTATATATTTTTTTAATTCGAATAGTTTACTTTTATAATGCTGTTGTGTGTAATGTGTTTTTATGATCATAAAAATCTCTTTTTTCTATATTTAATACTATTACTATTAATACATTGCAATAATAATTATGATTCACATGATTAACAATAAAGCGATTACTTACTTTTAAATCCTTATATATGTTTTATTTAATTATTTTTTATTCACAACGCCCTATCACCAGGGTGACGGTTCTGTTCAGGAGAATTTTTTCAGGAGTAGGCAAAAAAACTGCCACATTACAAATCTTTTTGACAGGACGAAGTCTGTCGGGTCAGCTAGTTATAAATAAAAAACATACAATAATGGCGGGAAAGAAGTCTTTTTTTTTATAGTAGAAGCTAATGTGCGAAATTCAAATTATGTTTTTTCAATGTATGTAAACAGCTAGTAACAGGATTAATTGCTAGATTAGGTATACAAAAACTTATTTTTTTTATTAAGTAGGTACAGAGTGGAAAGCGCCCAATAAAGCAAAACATTGCCCTTTTAAATAGAAAAATTATGTAGTTCCTATCTACTCGTATATATCGTTTAAAAGTATAGAATATAAGTCTTTATTAATCTCTTATTTCATTTAAGTATTTAATTGAATAAAAAAAAATTTAAACAAATTAAATATTATTCTGCCTGGCAGATCAAACAGACGCTAATTTTGGGACATTTTCTTACTTATCAAAGATAATGTAACCATTTCTTTTTATTGCTTGCTAACAAAAAGGACAGTTTGTTATTTTTTATATTTACCCACTAGCGTCGCCGCGATATCAAAGACCATCATCATCATCATCAGCCTTTTAACGTCGCTACTGCAGGGGCTCAGGCCTTCTTTGTGGATAGTGAAGGAGAATTGCCCACGCTGGCCTAATGCGGATTGGAGGGTATTAATGACTACAAATGCAGCCGGGAGTAACGGCTTAACATTCCGAAACACGGTACTCCGAGATAATATTTTTTTTTGTCACTCATCCCTTAACAGACCTTTGGGAAAGTTGCTTAACAACATCAATAACTGGCCACGGCGCTTGTCTACTACGCCACCAAGCTACTCAAAGTTAATAATGTACATACAGTAAAACCATTTGGACTGATTTATTTAAAGATACGGAAAGCAACGATATTATAGAAAAGGGGAAATAAATTTAACTCCCATGGCAAAATGCAATATGCATGTCGTCTATTAGTTTTTGATTTTATTACAATTTAAAAAGAAGTACTAGCCAGCGAATTGTTCTCATAATTATGAAAGGTAATGTGTTTATCAGTCTATGTATTTATGTTTGTTTCTATGTGGCGTTGTAGGGACCAAATGCGTAGGCCTATTTTGTTGATTATTACGTCAATCGATTCGTCTTAACCTTGCGAGTGTCACTAAAGACATGACAGTAATCAAAATTCATCAATTGTAAAAATTAATTAAATGGTAACATTTAAATGGGCCGACTGTGAATCGTTCTGTTCTGTATTACTTAACAGAATTCTAAACTACTGGGCTTGTTTTTTCCTTTTTAGTTTTAATTTAACTTATTTTTTTATGTATTTTTTAAAATTCTTTTTGGTTTTTAATTTCATTTATTTAGAACAGTAACTTAAGGAGCTCAAAAAAGTGTCTTCGCACATTTTACGAAATTCGTTCTCAGCTATTTAGGGTTTAATTAAAAAAATAAAGCAAAATTTCCAAAAAAAAATCCAAAAAGCGAGGCCTACCAACTAAAGCGGGAGTTATTCTACTCTATTCATTAATTCAAAATGATTAATATATTTTTGTTTCCGAGATCTGGAATGCCAAAATTTACCATTTTACGCAAATTTCATCGTTGAAATGTAATAAAACTCTTAAAGTAACAGTTTGACTATATTTTAAAATTTCTAAAATCCCACTATATGCTGTGCAGATGTAGGTATAATATAATAGAACCTGTTTCATAGCGGTTACCAGTTTCTATACTTATTGGTTAAGTGCTGCGACTCGTAGTTCCTATACGAGATTACGGACAGTTAGAGTCTGGTTGAAGTAGGTGAGGTGGTAGCTGAGGTTTTCTGTAGGATATTAAATGATAACTTCAATAGTAGTTTTACTTTTTTAAAGATTGAAGTCATTTATATTTTTTGAAAAAAGAAAATATTATGTAAACTTTTGTCCTCGTCTACACGTATGATATACATAATATTGCAAACACTGAATTGCTTATATTCCGTGGTTATACCCGGGGACCCATTCTATAAAGCTCTTCTTTAGCCTGTCTCTACTTTATCAGTGTAGGCCTCAGCTTCAGCGTTTTCTATTCATCTCGGCATTGAGCTCTTTCCAACCATTTGGAACCTGCAACCCTCTTGATGTCGTCTTTCCAGCGCCTCGCGGTCACTTATTTCCCCAGGGCCTTCACTCGAGGAGCCTCTTGCACCAAGAGTTTTCGTTACGGACCACATGTCCTACCTACTTCCACTTAAGGTGCGCCACCCGCTTTGTAACGTATGTTTGCTTTGCTCTCGCAGTCATTTATTTGTTTTGCGGTCCAATAGTGTCACTTCTACCAGCTTTGTCTCTATTGCCGTCTGGGCCACTTCCAATCTATTGATGGTGTCTTTGGTGAAGACCCAGGTTTCGGCGCCATGAGTGAATACTGGTAAGATGCACTGGTTGTATATCCTAGCTTTTTTTCCCCAGAAATTTTCATTTTGTAAGCAAAGTTCAGTTTCGAGTAGGCTGCCCACATACTTCTGCCTTCTATAAAGCTATGTGGAGTTAATTTTCTAAATAGATTTTTGTATGCATCTGCAGTAGAAAAAGTACATACTTGGAACATGTCCATATGTTTTTCTAAATTTTTAGCATTGTTGTTTGAGAAGACGGTCCAATAATTAAAAAACAATATTGGAAATATACATAGTTATTAGATTCGCTTTCTATTTGATGCATTACTCACGATGTGTCCGGCGCAGTGATGTCACACAGTTATTTGTGAAACTGGTTTTATAGAGATTGATGTAGGTATGTAGGTACCGAATAATACAGACACTTAAACGCTATTATGAACATTAAATTGTTATACATAAAGTTGATTTTATTTGAATGTTTTTTTGTTATTACGTGTAGTATAATATATATTTCAATGAAAATTATTTAACACTTATTGTATTAGCTGTCAGGATTGGAAGTGTGCGTGACCTCGTACAATATGCAGATTAGAATAACGTATATAATAATTGTATGATGTATTTATGTCGACTTGATCTGAATCAGAACTTCGTTCAAGTTATTATTACGGAAAAAAAAATTACCATTCAAATGAAGTAATATATAATCCATAATACAATTTTGACGCTGCTCCAACTACGTTTAAATACTAATAATTATTTTCTCATGTAGGTGATTGATAAATCTAATTTGTATATAACGGCTGGTGGTCCGAAGGGGCTATTACGAAGCCCAAATAGATCGTCCATATCGGAGGACTATCTTTAAAATAACACTGCAGGCGTGTATACCAACATGGGTTTATTCCACTTTATCACTTTTCACATGAAAATATAACGAGATGAGCGTGATGTCGTCAGATGTCTTTACTCCTCGGCGATCGGAAACAGAATGTGTGCCAAAATGGCGGCAACTTGGTTTTTATAAACGAACTGTCAAAGTCAGTGTCACCATTCTAATAAAATTAAAAGTATTGATGATCACGCTCTCTTTACAATCGAGTAATTAAGTAATCGAGTAACTAGCAATTAAAATAAAAGAAACTAAATCAAACGATCTTTGTAATGATGATGCGACATATATTATAATCAAAAGAAATATAATAAAAGTAGAATAGTGATAAAAAGCAGAAACTCATTTAATTCGTTCTCTTTAATTTCAGATTTAAATAATGAGTCAAAAAACGTCGCGCAAAGGGGTAGTGACTGATGAAAAGGAGAAGGTAATACCTGTTATACTTTATAAATATATTGTATATTAGATATAGGTAGTGCCATCCATGAAGACGTGCCTCATTCTTCTAAATACTTTTGACCATAAGGCCATACTTAAATAAGGCTAAGGCTGTAAGGCTGTGTTCGTTTGCACTAATAGTTAATTAATGTGTACCGATAAAACTCAAACATTAACAGAATCTTTCATACTTATGCTATAAACGATTCGTAGTCCTCTTCGTGGATGGCGTTTATCTGTATAACTTTAATGTTTGTATCGGTTATAAGGTATTGTCAATTTCTTATTTTCGAAATGTAAGACTTCTAACTTTGCGGTCAGGAATAATATGCGAGAAGTCTTAATATCAATCGGATACTCAAGTACAGTAGCTATGCCAATACTACACAATGGCCTCTATCAAAACAAGTTACAGTAATATAATTGAAATAAATGTACACAACTAAGAAATAAACCATACCGTAACTCTTAAACAAGTGAGCATAGTATGGACCAAATATACATGTAACATCAAAACGTAGCCGCAGAACATTATACAAAAAGAAAAAAATAACACAGCTAAATAAGATATAAAGAAAACAGACAAAAACATGCTTCTAAGATTGCAGGATTCTTTGGACTTGTCTTTTAAAAGTAAGTATTTTACCGTTAAAGATATCTAGTGAACAATGCTCGACTACAAGATCATTATACAGGCGACACATACTTGTAATGGGATTATAATAAATTGAAGTGTTATTTCTATAGATTTGTAGGTAGAAAATATTGTTTTTATATTAAAATTTAGTAAAGAGACAAGAGACGGTGTGTCAATGAGTGCATGCACTATTTTAAATGGGTATATCAACTGATGACATTTGCGCCGAGCCGAAAGGCTTTTGTATTTTTGTAGCTTTAACTTGTAGGAGTTATATTCTCGTCCCAAAAAGGTGAATTGGTTTTTAAATTCTTTAGTAGTTCGCAAGATAAAACCAAGTAGCTGATAACACTGAGTAATTGTATGTATAATCAAAATGCTCTCGAAACGTGAGGTTTTCATCAAAGTAAACCTCAAGATCTTTGATCACAGAAGTTCGCTGTAGGTGAGCACCTTCAATGTCATACACCATTTTATTCCTTCCCCCTACCGAAAGAAATCACGAAGCATTTGCTAGCATTAATAAACATTCGATTATCTGAGCACCACCCCGCCACGAGGTCTAAGTTATGCTGTAGCTTGACACAGTCTAGGGAATTCTGAATTGTGTGGTAGATTTTGAGATCATTTGCATAAAGCAAGCAAGAACAAGGGAGACGTTCCGCTAAATCATTGATAAATACGAGGTCATATCTTGTGGCATATACATAAATATATGTATATTGCCAAAACATTTGACCTCGTACTTGTTCAATGAGGCCGTTAGGTCGGAATCCCGTATTATTCATGTAAAACTATTCATTGTCTCACATTAAATATAACTAAAACCTGTAAAGTAGACGTTGAATATGCCTTTTTCTTACGAAGATTGCAAATCCAATAAAATGACGGCGACGCCTAAATGTTCTGAAGACCAAACTCGTAGTATTTTTAGTGAATGTAATTTAGTAGGTGTTTTTCTTTTTTGCCAATTTTTATTAAAAAAAAACATTTATCAATCCCGACTCAGTTGGAGTATTTGTTTTTCAGAGGCAAACTGACAGTCCTGTTAAAGACATGAAAAAGAAAATGGCTGCCAATGCTGAGAAAGAAAAGCAAGCCGCCGAGAAATCCAACGAGAAACCTGAGAAACCCACAGAAAAAACAGATAAACCAGCAGATAAGGGCGAGAAGGTTCCAGAGAAAAAGACAGACAAAGCTGAAAAGAAGCCAGAGGCAGATAAGAAGATAGAAAAAACTGAAAAGAAACAAGAGGCTGACAAGAAGTTAGAAAAGAAACAAGAGGCAGAGAAGAAAGATGACAGCACCAGTAAAGATGATAAAGCTGCGAAGGTAAATGAATATATTGGTCTTTTTTAGAATTAAAAAATATCCGATCAATTTTGGATTCACATTCGTATATTGATATTTATCTAAAAGAAAAATGCTTAAAAAGTTTAATCAACAACTACCCAAGATATGGCCGCACTAACGAATATCAAACAGTCGCTACTTACGCCACTAGTGAGTATATTCTAATAAACGTTCAGGAAATTCACCTAGAATTTTATTTAATTAAAACGTTAGTCTGTAATTTGCAATTTTTATTATCATACCAGAATGTCTATATTGTGGCAGTACCTCAAACTTGTCTAATGTTATATTAAAATTGATTTCCGTTTAGGCATGCATAGAGTGAACCGTCCAATTATTGGCACTAGACTCGTAGCCTAAATACAATTTAAGTGTTCTAAGCAGCTATCCTATAATAAGTCGATCAAAAGCAAGGCGACCTCATTCGTTCAAGGGTCCGCTATCGAGGACGGTATACAAAATTCAAATATTGTTTGTATAGTGTTAACGGTAAAGTAGGTCTTACGTGCAAACGGTATTTTTACCTCTCTACCGTTTGTGGAAATATTGGCATAATTATATCGGCCTATCGGGAAACTCTTCGAAGATCGAGCGAGCGCGACAATATCTGACGGAGTGCCAACATTTGGACGGATCACAGCTTCAGGCGGCCGACGAGGAAGGATCAGCCGGTACACCGTCAATTCCCCTTTCAGCCGGAGAAATCGAACGAGGCGAAACCTTCAAAGCCCAAACATAACGGGAGCGCGCGCGTAAATGGCGCCACAAACGGCGATCACAACGGAACGGTGAGTGCGCCGGACTACGAGGACGAGGACGGGGACGAGGACGAGGAGGGCGAGGGGGACGAGATGTTCCCCGAGCTCAAGTACGACGACACCTCCGACCCCGAGTTCGAACCTGACGCGCCGCACGGCAGGAGCATTACGCGGCGCTCGCAGGTACACACCGGCCAACTAGCCTGCGCATTATGGCATTGCTTTGGTTCGGGCTCTTGGAGAACTGATCCAACTGGTGGTCTGGTCTTATGCTGCTCGCTCGGGTGGGGGGGTACCCTTGGATTCGTGGGACTGGTTTCATGTTTTAATAGTTCTTAGTCTCTAGAATGAGCACCGATGGCGAGCTGAGTGTCTTCGCTTTTTTAATCGGTTGACGTAATGTATTGTGGATACGCGTCGGTTTGTCATCTATGTCGAATGCTTAATCACGTCTTACGTGTAATTTAGGCTACATAATAGCTTTAAACATAATTGTTGTATATGTTTATAATGTCTGAATCTCGGAAACGGCCTCACGATTTTCATGAAATTTAGAATGCAGTTTCATTTACGGTTACATTTGCAGTTTTATTTATGTACGGTATAAGGTATTAGTTATTTAAAACGAGTTATCTACTTCGTAATTGTGTTTATGACTGAATGTGGTACTAGGTTTATGGCGAAAGTTATGGCTCAGGATGTACATATAAGATGTTCTCTTTTTCTACTACCGTTACTTACCGTCAACATCTTGAATTTATATCTGTTTTTTTTCTGCCTTCTAAACTTCTAATGGCATGAATGTCCGCTATTTGTTTTTTTTTCTTTGTGAAAAATATACAATTACTTTGCTCTGTACTGATATATCCCCTTTTGTAATAATTAAATTTTATCTCAAATTCTACACTTTATCATCATGTTGGCATACGTCAACCTCAGTTTTTAGCGCATACATCTTCTCCCAGCGACCTGTTGCAAATTGTCACCTCTTGAAATTATGTTTTTTTAAATAAAATTATTATTTTGACATAAATGGACCACCCCAAAGAGTAAATCGGGCGCGCCTCGCTCACTCCAGTCATGTCTTTTAGATAAAGTAACATTACATTTTAGTAATAGATTGAAGGTAACTTACGTTTTGTTTATGTTATAGTAAATAACTCATTTGAATATACCTACTCGTATTCAATAATTTTCTGTTATATAAGTATGTGTTCTTTGTCAAAGTTTTAAAGTATTAAGTACTTACTGTTTCTTCTAATCAGTACTCTTACAATGGATGTAGAACAAAGGCTGAAATTTCATGTAATACGTTAAGATTAATAAAAGTAATTTTAGACTAATTACTAATCTCATAATGAAATCGTTTGTGTGGTATGTTAATTATTTTACATAAGAACAGGACTGACAGGTTCTGATGTGTGATAGAAATAAAAATCTAATAATTCATTGAACATACATCGGATACATTATTGTTTGTGGTAAAGGGTGCCAGTGTTATGTATTTATCTAACCGTCATAGAGTGAGTTTTAAATATGGGATTCGAAAACTTTATCTTTTTTATAAATAAAATTACCATTTAATGCGACTGTATACTTTATTTCGTTCTTCAATACGTCTTTTTATCGTATTGTTTCCTATGATAGATTGATCATAAAACAGTTTCCATTTCATCTTGTCTATAAAACTAAAAAATGACTTGAAATTATATTTCATTCCAAAGCCGTACTACTTGCAATAGTGAAGCGCGGTTGCTTTTGTATCCCATATTGAAAGCTGTCGCGGTATGCGCAATAACAAGTAACATGGTGTTGTTTGGTGAAGGCTAAAGTGACGCGCACGCCGGAGACGCCGCGCCCCGCCTCCGACCGACACACGGACGCCGCTGACGACGTAAGTTATATGTATATAACGATTACCGCACTAGTGATTTTTTAGCCTTATATAATTATACTAGTGGCCGCCAGCTACTTCGTCTGCGTTTTCCATTATTTCTTCGCTCCTCATAGTTGCAGCGTGATGTTATATAGCCTAAAGCCTTCCTCGATAAATGGTCTATTCAACACAAAAATATTTTTTCAATTCGAGCCAGTAGTTCCTGAGATTAGCTCGTTCAAACAAACAAACTCTTCAGCTTTATAATATTAGTATAGATATGGCATTTCTTTTAACATATTCACAACCTTAGATAAGAACGCCCAGAAGAGCGAATGTCTAACTCCTCTAACCCCAAGACACGACATCTTACTTTGACTGTTTCTTAATGTCCCTGTCCACTCTGAGGTAGGAGCATTTTTCATATCATGACAGTTTTATCGCAAATTATGCATATCTGAAAAAGTTGTTTCATTTAGACCATAGAATCACAATCCATGTTTTTTTTTTATTATTATTATCAAATTCAAAAACTGTAAGAGTCCCTAATTTTATCCTGAGACGATCGATTGACTTAGGCCTACTACGTGAGCAATTTAATGTAGAAATATTAAAGTAAAATAAACGTACGAAGTCCGAAATATCAGAAGCGTGGCACAAAAGACCCAGTACGACGCGATTATCGATGGAAAATATACGCCTGCCTATAAACATATATGTTCGTCAGTTAGAAAGTTGGTTAAAAAATCGCGGTACCCTGTCCTTATAGGCCCGTGTAAACGCATTTCATTTTCTTCTACTTTCGTTTCGTTTAAAAACAGATACCGATAGAACATACCGCGATGTGTGTCTCTTTCCAACCGAGGGGCACCTGGTCGCCTAATACTAACATCTCTTTCATATTATATTGGATTCCATATTGTATGTAATCGTAGTAGATAGTTACGTAGTAGACTCGCTGGTCTATCTATAACATCTCTGTGAAACTGATTCCGAAATGTCAACTTACCTTGAGTTTATACCCACTTAGTCAAATCCACCTTCAGACAATCCCACCTTTTAGTCACTGCTTGATCAAAAGCTTCCTAGATCGGTTGTAGGCATTTATTTATTACGTTGACATATATAACTATATATTTCTGAAAAACTTCTGTAAGTAGCTGTTATAAACAAAAAAAGGAACAAGGTATTTCTCATATAGAAATTGACATTGACTTAGATTTCAAGCAGCACATTGGTTTTATTCACTTTCCAAAAAGAAACTATGTCATGTGCAAAATTAATTAAATATTAATATGTTTAACGACAAAAACACTTGTTTATACATTTTTCGTATCGTCGGCCGGTTGCAATTCTTAATTTTAATAGCGTGCGCGGCATTGACCTACATACTCATACGCATGTGCTTGGCAAAATGAAGTTGCATGTGAGTTATTGATTTAATATTACTTATACTGAGACATTTTTGAATAAGATGAAAGTGGTTATTATATTTTTTTTCTGTGTTACATAGGGTAGATTCTGACAGATATTATGAGAACTTTAATTTAATTGTATTTTCAATTGTGTATAAAAATATGTGAGAGAAAATAATATTATAAAATTAAGATTTAATAGTCAATCAGAAAATACCTTTAAAATATCTGACACATTATATATACTATAGCCAAGAGATTATTAATAAAATTATTCTTGATGTCTTATTAACGCAAGGAATTGTCATTCCTTTCTAATGTTTCCAGTCGAAAGATTCGAAGGTGCTCAAACTAAAGGAAGACGTGCCCTCGACGGATCGCAAATTACGCTCTGCAGACTCGCCAAAACCTGAATCCAAAAAACAGCAGGAGAACAAACAAGAGCCCGCCAAGAAGCCAGAATCCCAGGATAAACCTCAGGAATCACCTAAAAAACCGCAAGAAACACAGAAGAAAGAGGAATCAGCTAAAAAAACTCAAGAAACACAAGACAAACCACAAGAGCCTAGCAAAAAAGTACAAGATTCACCTAAAAAGGCAGATAGTGTTAACAGAGATGAGAAGGAGAATGGCGATGGAAATATGGATATCGTGGAAATCGAAGATGAAGGTGAGTGTAGTTTATAGAATATTCTTTGAACAAATATAGTACTTTTGGCTACCGAAGCGATACCATCTTTGAAGACGTTGAGATTACTTCAAAAGTTAATTAACAACAAATCCGTGGACAGAATTTGTTTTTGAATTTAATCTCAAGAAAAGATAAACAAATACGGTTGCTTCCAGTACATAACATACATAACAAAAACAATCAATTGCAATTTTTATAAGTAATGTATGTCTATTGCACTAAAAGCGGTACCTTTAAAAAAATATAGATTATTAGGACGATAATATTTGTGGTGTTAAACTTCAACTTAAATGTTAAACAAATGGAAGTCACTTAAAAAAAGGCAATTACATGCCTGATTGCAAATATCGAAATTTATCTATATAACGTTATCGTATCTAGTTTTGTATAGTTCCCATGGGAACAAACGTGTGTTTGAACGAATACGTCAACGATAATAGTGTGACGTCGTCCGGTTGCAGAGGAGCCTCGCAAGACGGACACGAACTTCTCCAAGAGCCGCGTGAAGGTGTCGCCCTACAGGCGCAGCACGCGCGCCGACCACACGCACAGCTCCACCATGGCCAACTACACGGGTGCGTACACTACACTACACTACACTACCACTACACTACACTATATCTTCACGCCGTATCCCTGGCTGGTTATGCTGAGAGGACCGAACGCCACAATATACTGTCCTTACATAAATCTTCCGCCTCATCCACTTTCATTACTCTTTTCATACATACTCACGGGTTTTTATGGCTTTTGACATCATATCACTTTCACTGAAAGGTGTGTCGTGGCCTTCCTCGGCTTCTGTATCTTTCCGCATTCGCGTTGTATAGGTACCAGTTTTGCTGTTCTTTCGGCATTCTTTCTGCATGTCCGAACCAACGGAGCATGTTCTGTTGATTTTTACACCAACGCTATCTTTAAAGTCAACTCTCATTCTTATCTTTTCATTCCGAATGAGGTCTGTGAGCGTACATTACACTATCGTACACTAAGTAATACCGACTTCATATATATAATCGAGATGATTGTTTGTTATTGTATAGGAAACAACACGACCATGGAGATGGACATTACCGAGTCATCATTCGTATCCACCGAGACGTCATTCGATGACAGTTCGTATCTGAGCGGACTGAGGAACATCCGCGGCCGACGCTCGTACAAACCGCTCAAGGAGATGACGCTCAGACATCTCACCGAAAAACATGTCAGGCCTGACACCAGCGGGACAGGTGGGTTGTGTATATAGCTGCATTATTTTTCACACATTACTTTTATTTAAATTATTTGATTATCATTAAATTTGAAAATTCTTATGTGAAAAGTTAAAATGTTTGTGAATGCTTAAAAAATCCACTTTGTCCCTAGCACTCTGAGATGGTGTTTGAACACATGACTTTTCGCAACCTGGGCGATTAAGAAATGCCATGGGTAATTTATTTCATTTTTCATTAAGAAAATTTTGCAGTATAGCATTGTGAATTCAAAATTGATTAAATATAATTTTGGTTTTCATCTTACTTGTGTGATTTTAAATTATAGACGTAAAAGTCCGATATATTTTAAACAAGTCGAGATGTAGTAATTTGAATAACGTTTTATTTTTATTGTTCTTGTAATATAAAACAGACTGGGAAGAGGGGAAAGGAAAGATAAAGGTAAAATGAAATTAATGTTGTCAGACGAACAGTGCTCGAATTAAAATTGCAGGCATTAGGAATAGTATCGTATACAGGAATACTCTCAATTCAAACTTCAAACCGTCAATTCGTCGGGCTGATTAAATCACTTGGCAGATTATTATTTTTTAATAATGGATTCCTTTTACGTGTCTACTGTCCTGAGGCTGTAAAAGTATATTGACGCGTGGATCTTTAAAAGGAAACGAGCGCGGGGGGTGCATCCCGCGCTCTTTCATTGACAGCAGCTTGCGAGTACTTTGTAGTTTTCGCGACGTCGGACGCGATACTTTGTCTTATAATTTTATTACCAGGCGACACCGAGCGGTTTTTTATAGGTCGTATTCTGGAAAAGTAGATTTGAATTCAGAAAAATACCCAGATGACAGGACCTGTCGGTCTGTAATTCAGGGGGGAGATTCGTTGGAAGGAATAGAATGCAGTACGCGGCGGAGGCCCGGATTCGATATCGAAATTCCAACGAAGTTATATGACTGAACAGGTGCGGAGCCGCCGGTCCGCCCCACGGGCACGGTGGTGGGGCGCAAGCGCAAGCCCGAGCCCGCCCCCGCCGCCGCCCCCGCCCACGCCCCCGCGCCCGGCAAGCGCCTGCGCCTGCTGGACCGCCTCGCGCACTCGCTGCGCCCCGCCCCCGCCCTCGCCCCCGCCCCCACACCCGCCCCCGTGCCGCCGCGGATACACGCCGAGGTAGGAATTGAACATATTGCACTATTTATAGCTGGCTCGGTAACATTTATTACTTGTCGAAATTATTATTTAAGGCTACTGTAAAAATATTCAGTTATCAAATTTAAAAACTTCAATTTTGTGTGTACAAATAGTTAACAGTATAAAAAATATAATTTAACAATAATTTTATTTATGCATGATTGATGAATTAATGCATGATTCACGAATGCCACGTTTTGACTAATCTTTTTGATCGTAATTTAATGAAAATTTTACAATTTTTCACCACAAGAAACGATAAACTTTGTATTATAGATCCGTACTGTTTTCTTGGTACTATGCATTTTTACATTTCTGAAATGTAAAAATGCATAGTACCAAGAAAACAGTAGGGATTGAATTACCTCTAAGCAACAATCTTACGTATTCAGGCTATTATAGCTGACTCGGGGCTTGATTCGGCGTACTATTCTTCGTTTACTATAACTATATACAGGACCACAACCGCCTCCGTCGCCCTTTTATTATATGTTTTTAACCGACTTCAAAAAAAGGAAAATATTTTTTATATATTTTCCAAGATAATATATTTTTTAAGATAACAAACACATTGCGTTTATTATTGAATATTTTCTGAAAGTTCATTTTCATTGAATCGAATTGCACAAGGTATCGCGACCCGCGCAGGTGCGTTGTCGTCCGCGACTTTATTATACACCGCGACAACATTGCTGTAGCGACATTCTTGCCGTGCGACCTGTTAATTCTTACGAGTAATAATAATATTAGTTGTTTTCACGCGACTTTACTACCATAAATTATATCCAATGTACGTTCTCTTAGTGAAAAAATTTAAAAATATTCACAGTAGTTTCGGAGTCAATACAAAGCAAACAAATGAAACCTTTCCAATTTATAATATTAGTATATATAACGAAAATTATAATAAAAAACGGTTCTGTTGATTGTTCGAATGTTTTCGTAACAGATCGTGGGCATCAACACGGACTTGCCGCTGACGGCGCCGGTCGCATCCGAGGACACGTTCGATCCCGAAACGCTCAAACCCGCGCCCGCCCCCACCACCGGCCCCGGCCCCGCCCCCATCCCCGTCCCCGTCTCCCGCAGCGACACAGACAAGGACAGCAAGAAGTGTGTCGTCATGTAAGTCGATTCACATCATTCGTGGCGTCGGTTCGGACTCTGACCGCGGTCTGTATGTGATATATGCTCTATTTTCATATCTGATTTTGGATTGCAGAGGACGTGCCTGAATCGATTTTGAGTAGTGTGTAATGATTGAATAAGAGCGGCATTTAATTACAAACTGTAATGAAAATGGTTTAATATATATTTTTACTTATCGGACTGTAGTAACGTTGTTAAAATCCGGATATACATGTGCATATATCTGTGTTCGATATTGCACACAAATTTATTACCACATTCGAAATTAATATGATTTCAAAAGGATGATCTAGTTTTTTTTTGTATAATATAAAATTATCTACGCCATATAAATCTCAATCATGAACCATGAATTTTGTTAACAGGATAAATATAACTTTAAACCCCATCACACTCTTACATCCAATAATAATAATATCAAAATAATATAATTTGTATGTACAACAATGAGTGCTACATTACACGAGCACACTTAAATAAAAATGAATTCATGACGGAATAAGTGAATATTAATAAAATTGATAAATTTCATATAAAATAAGACAATTGGGTGAGACAAGTGATTGTGTTAAATAATATATTATTATTACAATCTGAAGACAAAATGGTGTTTAAAAACTTGTATTAAATTAAGTAAGCGTATAGTATCATTATAAAAATGTTCATATAGTATTAGAAATACATTTCTAGGATTGTACAAAGTATAATATATGTTCAGTAGATGTTGTTAGGCGTTTTAATGAATATATTTTGCAATATACATATAAATTAATAGAGAAATTTTATCTGTTTATTACTGATACAAACTGTACTGTATACAAACTGTAAACAAAATATATTCGACACTTAGGGCGATTGTAGTGAAAGTGGATTTTCAGGTCCGGCAGTCCGGCTGTGCAGTGTCAGGAATTTTACGGTCCGGAATTTTATTTTTCTCTATTCCGGACCGGTTTTATCAGGGCCGTGATGGCGGCAATGAAAAACGTGTTTACGCTTGTGCACTGCAATGTCCGCGATCCGAAAAATTCTTTGAACCGAGTGTCATCATAAGACACCCGAGGGATCTGGAAAATTTATGAGCCTGCGAAGTAGGCTTGGGAAAAATAAACGATTTAAGAAAGATCGATATTTATTTCGGCGATTTGTTAATTTTTGATATACTGATAATCGAGAGTTTTTTTATAACCATGGAAATATGCATGGTTATAAATTTGACCATCAAGTACGGGAACATTATCAGTAATTATATTCGAATTACACAGATATTTTTAGCTTTGCGGTTATTTTAGTATTATGAATAATGCTGTTCCTAAATTAGTAAGGGCATATGCTTTTACATCTGATAGTAGTAAAAAAAAATGCTTTCGTCCTGCCTCAATTTATTATGGTTTATGTAAAATGACCCTGTCAGGTCATTATGTCTGTCTTCTACGTCTTTGCACGTAGAGTAATAAAGCTAGCAATTTCCGACGTTCCAAAAATCTCATCGTACCTAGCGTAAGTGACGTGTATGTAGTTTCAAATCTGCCCCAAGCGGAAAAAACGTACAAGTGCACAAGCTACTCACCCTGGTTTTTCATGTCATTCCGGACCGGAAAAAAACGGACCGCCGAACCTGGAAATTCAGTGTAGTGTACAAGCGCCCTTATTCTTGTTAGACTGTTTGGCAAGTTTTCACGCTTTTTTGTCGTGTCTCTTCAGGTTTCAAATTCAAATAATTCTGTTATCATATGGGAAATTATTTGCTTGTCTACATAGAATATTACATGCGTCTGGCTTAGTAGACATTATGCATATGATGTACATAGACGTAGGTTATATAGGAAAAGACACTAAATTTTTTTTTTTTTGTTAAAAACCTGTGTTTTATTTCTTTATTCAGATTATGTTTCTCAAAATAACTTTAATTTGCTTCAATATTGTAATACGGCACTTTGATGCATCAAGATTTTATCTTATGTAAATTAAGTTAATAAAGAGTAATATATACCGAGTCGCAGTATGTCATGACAACATTTCGGACATATTTCAACTTGGCCATGTGCGCGCTTTGAGCGTGACGCATTTTTAACGTACGACATTTTTATTTTTAACTGGTTGACCGTGGTCGGGACACGTTTGTATTCGCAATTGCAACTTATATACATTTTATATTTGACACATAATAATTATTATAGCTTTAGTGAATAGATTTGAATACACTAATATTATCTCAAAGGAAATTTTACCAGTCCCAGGTGTCCTAGCATAGCCCAAGTCTAGGAAACAGAAATGTGTTCTGAAAAAGTAGGGTATGCCTAGACGTGTGGCCGACGTGGTCATTGGACCAAACACTTCCAATCATGAATAGTACCATTGTCATTACCCACTCCTTAGCAGCCCCGTTATTCCGAGGCTCGTGCTGAGAATTTCTGTATTTCCACACTCTTGTCCAAGGAACGATCATAAATACGAAACACGCACATAAAAGAAAATAATACTGGATTTTTTTTTCTTTTATGTTGTAAAAAAAATATTACAATCAAAATATTATAGTTATTATTTCATATTTCCTTTCTTTCTGTTTCATTCTAAACTTCAAATAGAATAACTAGTGTCTCTACTAGGGTAGTTTTTTGTGCATATGCCAAAGTTGACAACCTTAACGCGACCGCCGATTAGGTATAAAAATGAGTACTTTTGATTATTTTATGTATATTCTGTGGAATAACTAAGATCTGGAGGCAGTACTTTTGTAAAAGAATTAAGTCTGCTGTTTAGTGAGGTCTTGTTTACCGGCGAAGTATCCGAGAATTAGACAAACAGCATCGTCGTGCTTTTTTATTAAAAAGGCGATAAAATCCCACACAAAAACTATCGGCAAGTTATTCAAAAGTCTGAGGAATACAACAGGCCTGTTTTTCTCGCCTATTTAATTGGATGGCGCCATTCAATTGCACCTCTAGTTTTCTAGTTGAATCATGATATTTGGACCGTTCAACAAGATGACTGTATAGATTATCGCGAAACGTTCAGTCATAAATTTCGTACCTATCACGTGACCTACAGAACCAATATCACTTCGTTATTTATCATTTTATGAGCACCAAACTCCGAAATCGTAATAAAGATCGTATATTCATCAATGTTCAGGCAATCCCCCTAAATATTAATATTTATAATCCATCACAAATTGATTCATTCTGCAATTGATTCAGAATATCTTCATCCCTTAAGTATAAACTTCAGAATATCTTCATCCCTTAAGTATAAATCATTAGTTTCAAGTTTAATCCTAGATCAGTCAGCCAGTCGGGCTTCCAACTTTTATCATACCGACATAAGTATATAAATATCATAATCATATCATTTCTACAATGAGATCCTCCTTACAGTTCACATATTTAATGCCAACCTTTCAAAGTTTAAATATTGTACATATTAAGGAAGTTGTAGTAGACCCGGATGTCCCAGTTGATTGAAATCAATATTTACGACCTTCTATCCTTGAACTTGCTATTTATTTTCCCTTCTTTTTTAACATATCATTGTGTAAACACTTTTAAGTTGATACTTATTGTTACCTAATAAATAAACACGGACACCTTGGGATTGGTGATTTTATAAAAGCATTTTTCTTTAAGATAAATGTGAATATAGCATTATGAATGCAAAACTGATCGAATATAGTAAGTTTTTATACATTGTTACAAATATGTATACATTGTTATACATTGAGATCTTTGGAAAAATAAAAGAAAACAATTTGTACCTTAACTCATTTTTTATCAAAATTATGTTTATATAACGTATATATATTATTTTATTTTTGAATCCGTCGCGTCAGCAGAGTATTGTAACCTAAAACAAAATGTTTATTAAGTTGCAATTTTAATAAATCGGGTGAAATGTTATAATAGGCTACTTGCAGTATTTTAGTATGAACAAGTTGCCGCAATAGGTCATACAATCTGCTCATGAAAGAGGCTTCATCAGTAAAACTATGAAGATAAGATTTCACCAGATTGTTGTTATTTGGTAATATTATATGACGGTCCCAAAGTTGTACAATAAGTAGTCGCCATTTTAGCGATATTTTATCACATGAACTAATTTTGTGAAGTATTCGATTTCAATGTGGTATCATGTTTTATAAGATATATTTGTGCATTTTTTTTTTCTAGAATAAATAGAAGTATAAGAAAATAATGGCTTTTTATTTTCAAAGTTATGTTGTTGTCAACTTGAATTATTTTAATTATCGATTGCGATCTTCCAACACAGACATTTATGTCAGTTACGTTACGTGATGAATATTGTGTCAGTTAGAGAGAGGTCATAAAATGCTAGAGATGCAGGATTTTAAGAGGAATGACACCTTGCTCTCATATAGATTGATCAGAATCTGATGGCACAAAATAAAAATAAATAATATCGATAATAAAATAAAATTCAAAATTTCCCGCGAAATGCCCCTTCTGCCATAGCGTCCCGACCCTCTGAAAATAATATTGTTCTAAAAATTCGACACGAAGTTTATGTGGTCAGTTCGTTTCGATAAAATCCTAAAAACTCTTATGAATAATATGAATACGATATTCAATATAGTAATTATAAGTATTGTTTTAAATTGCTATTGTTACAAAATAACTTAAAAAAAAGAACCGACTTCAAACTTTAAAAAAGTGATAAATATTACTTATCTCACAATCAACTTTTTTTTTTACTTTATTTGGTGTGTCAAAAATTGCTACAAAGTTTCTTAGGTACTAATATTTGGGTAACTTATAAACTTATTGCACAATCTTGTATAGACAAACACATCATGGGTGGTTATTACGATACACACAAATAAACATTATTTAACATAAAATTAGAAATGGAAAGAATATTAAACGTTTTGATGTTAGGACATGAATAGTCTTCTATTTTTGTTGGCATACACATTGAAGGGATGGGAAATAGGAGTGAAATCTGTTATGAGGAATCAAAACATTACCAGAGCAGCCATTGTTAACAATTTGATTTGTCATGTAATAAATCTATCTAATGTTTTTTATAAAAATTTCCGTATTGTGATAAATATTGGCATTTGAGTACAAAAATAACATTTTAAATAAATACTTTAGGAAATATTCTAGTAAAAATCATTTTATATGCGAAAAAAAAACAAACTATATATTAGATGCCATTAATATGCTTTTAAATCGCACAGATTTGGTCAAGGTTGAGTTTCCAATAAAATTTAGTAAGAACTTTAAGCTTTGGTATACTGATGAGTAGCTCGGTAAGGTGGATAAGTGGATAAGCGCAAACTTTCGCACGAGTCGGTCACGGTATGGGTGACCAATAAATTATTATCTCGAGCTACTCCGTGATTCGGAAAGCACGTTATGCCGTTGGTTCCGGCTGTATTTGCAGTCGTTAATGCCCTCCAATACGCATTGGGTCTGCATGGAGGGTCATCACTCATCCCCCTTACCCAATCCATAACGAAGGCCTGAGCCTTTGCAGTGGCGTAAAAGGGCTAATGATAGTGATAATTGATGGCGTTTATTTTTAATTGAACTATGTAATCGTTTTGTTCATTCATCAAAATTTCGCGTAGATATCAGTTTTCTATTAAGTTTTGTGTGGACATTAGATTTGTGTTTACGTATTTCAAATCCGATATAATAAATGAATTTTCTGATATAAAGTACTGCAACATATTGGACATAAGTAGGTTAATTACATCTAAGGCTGTTGCTGTACCTTATATAAATAAGTACATATAGCTTTTGTTGTAATGTCTTCGAAGTTGAACATCAAAGTATGTATTTATTGGAATATCGCGAGTATTTTGCTATGAATAAAATTAATAAATTGTGTTTGTTGCTCCTACCGATTGGAGACCTGCGAATAACCCATTTTTGTACATTGCCGTACAATGCACTATTAGGCTAGTATATAGATTACTTTTCCTAAATTTTTGTATTCCAAAGTAACTTTGTTCTCTTATATAACGGGCACGCGCACGCGCGGTCCCAGTAGGTACTAATTACTTACGTTATCATTCCTTCTATGATCGACCTTATCAACGAAAGTATGCGTTAGTAAAAGAAGGACAAGGAGCGCGTTAGTATTTAACGATTAACTGTACAAACAAAAACACCAAAGTCATAAAATTCGTGTAATAAAGCTGTTTGCTAACAATAACAATACGGCCGGCATCAGATGCTTACTTAACCCTCTTAGTTTCATCATACGAAGATCATCCTCTTCATCACTGTAAGTAAGTACGTAATTATAGTTAAAGATTCATAGACATATCTTAGACTCAGAATAAACCGAATCAAATGGAATTTAAACTGGATTTATATCATATTAGAAGATACCAATTAAATATTGAAGTGGTCTACCAAAAAAATTGAGATGGGTTCCTCTACCGGCTAGACAAAATAAAAATAATATTTATTTTCCAAGATTTACATTACAAATGTTTAGGGCACTTTACAGCGTGAAAATTAAATAAAAAATACAGCAAATTCAAATAATGTAACAATGAAATAGTGAATGAAAAAAGGTGTTGATGATTTGACCAACGTTTATTTTACACTAAAAACTCTTGCTCGCCTTTATTTATATATTTTGTTACTTACAAAAATGTAATGAAAATAAATGGCATTAATAAGTTTTCGATATTTAAGGTGAAGATAAAGACAAACATAAAACTTCTCAATAAAGCAACGATGCATCTCATCTTAATGGAATTAAAAAAAAAACAATGATTGAGAAAATATAATTTATTCATCAAATATAACAGACGCACTAAATATAGTTGATAACATTGAACATTAATCTCAATAAATTAATGGTGATTTTGGACGGAACCCTTATGTTTTCTAGGAATTGTTATAAAAATTAACTCTATAAAATAACATACATTTACTACATAAATATTAAGAAGGACAACGTAAGATAATGAAATACAAATGTCACAAATATTCGTATTATATAATTTCTATTCAATAATAATATTATAAAAACATCTATCCTAGTTACTCGCCTCCAATGCATCAATTTTCAAATATTTAATCTAAGGAACTCCCTTTTTATTAAAAAAATATTTATTGATAGAAGAGACATTACTATAATTGACAGTATTTTTCTCCTTTAATAAAAAAAATGTAGTATTTAAACTAAATAAAAATAATATTTGTCATTTGATTTAACCATTTACTTTATAAAAATTGAGTAACATTGTTACGTCTTTTATCAGTAATAAATAAAACTTCAGATCATTTTGTATCCTATAGCAAAGTAAAAATATCACAGTCTAATATCGAGTTATTTTTCACGAGTGTCTAAATGGTGTCACACCGGCTGTGGATATATTGTGTATGGCAAATATCGACAGCATAAAGTTGGGCTGTCCTTTCCATCTGGTTATATGCGGCGTTTGAAGTTTTCTAAGATAAAAAAAAATGGAAAGTCGGTGAGCAACCGTTATCAGGTCAATTCTGCTAATATTTATGAACTCTTATAATCGCATCTCAATGGAGAATCTTAAAGACACAGAAATATTTTTTTATTATTTCTAACAGAAGTCAAAATGTCACCGCCCATGTGTGAAGAAGTCGTTGAGAATCTATTAAGATGCAATTATTACGTAAATATTAGATGAAGTGGCCTGCAGTTTCATGTTGGTGTTTACAATGAAGCTTGCATGTATAAGTACATAAAAAGAAACATTAACCTTGTCCATACCAATGCGCCTCAATTATATTTTTATATAACTAGAAAACAGTAAAAAAGCGAAACTAATTATGATTTTTCTACAATCTACGCAACAGCCAATATTTTCTATAGAATGCCATAAAATTCAAAATGATCTCTAAAATTTACAACGAAAAGTGACCATTTTTCAAATAAAGCAAAAGCAAAGCATTTTTAAAAAATAATAGGGTCTAAACATTTTTTATACATACAACTGTGAACTTCAAAGTATCAAAGCTTTTAATTTTCTTTAAAACATAGATGAACATTAAAAATCATATAAAAAGGTAAATTTAAATGATAATAATGTAACATTTTTTATTATAATTTACCATTAATAATAATAAAAAAATGTTTATTATGCGCACAAAAAAATATGATTAATACAAAGTATCGTTCATGTAATAAAGTGGTGTAGATATAACAATAAAATGTTTTAAATCTATACAGTACTAACGATAATACAAAGAAAAAGGTTTAATGTTGTACCTACTAACTAATAGTAATTAGAAACTTATAATTATGTACATATCGTACCTACAGTCGTTCACAGCTCAAACTACATAAGTAATATTTATTTGCTATTACAACATCGATCAATAATACTTATTAATTACATTCACCACCTAAAGTACCCTAAACACCAAGTATACATACCTCGGTGGCACATTTTAAGGATCATTAGAGTATTACGCAAGAAAATTTTTAGTAATTTTTAACCTCCGTCGTCGTAGAAGTGTTTTGGTAAAATTTTCTCAACTAAATTATTTAAAATTCACATTTTTTTTAATGCTATGTCATTGTAGCATCAAAAATAATAAGCACGAAATAGTGAGTAGAGAATGAGCCACAATAATCCAATGATCCCAATAACAAGCAGAGGCGGATTATAAAGCGCCCTAAGGGAGTGCCATATTTTTTGGATAAACAACCGCTAGGCTCACTCACCCGCAAAAATTCGCATTGCAAAATTTCGCGTTCTTTCTTAATGACGCACATCCTGCTTGTTTACTTAGCTAGAGGATATTTCAATCCACCCCTGCTAATGCACAGCGTACTCGACTAATCTACCCGGTGCGTGGTGTGGTGGTGGTGGTGGCGGTGGTGGTGTAGACTCACATAGCGTGGTCGCGCAGCAGCCGCGCGAGGTGTTGCCGGTGGCGCGCGACCCACGCGATGTTGACCGCGGCGCGCTCCACCGCCTGCTGCACCGCCAGCTTCACCTCCGACAGGTACGTGGCGTGCTTCTCGCGCCACGTGTTGAACTGAACACACACAACAAACACGCACACTTTATTAGTTTATTATATTTAACGGCGCCGGTATTGTCGCAGGATTACGCCCTACTTTGCCGACCATCTGCGGCCTGACCCTGCCGAGTATAAGTGAGACGGACACCTAATTCGTTGTATATACCTTTTGGTTACTGAAATAAGACTTACTATACATTTTTATCATAAGTTCGGTTATCTTCGGAATTGATCGATCTCCTCTGCGCATACGAATTTCACCATGCATATATTATTCGAAACTCATTGCAGGGCTCCCGATCACCTAGACCTGAGAGATCATGAAAAAAAAAGCACTTTCTACGTTTTCCCGACTAGGAATGACCTCCGAAGAAGGATAGCCAGAATACTTATAGCTATTGAGAAGTTAACATCATTTCAGTTACCTCGTCGAGTTCCCGCTGCGTGGTGAATTGATCGAGGAGTATTTTAACAATGCCACCTATTCGATTCGCCTGTCCGCGGAACCTGTACAAGTAAAATATTAAGTGAATCGATATCGCCTCTGAATTCGCAAAATAACGTATGTATATGAGTTTTGTAAAAAATAAACTTACGTTTTATGTAATTCAGCGATGTGGTCATATATGAACTCTTTAGCGACGTAGTAACCGATGGTGGACCGCGTGATCGACGCTATGACAGTCGCCGCATCCTGGCGGCGAATCACCGAGCCTTCTGTTATGGTCCACTCGAGGTACCTAGCGACGAAGACGCAAACAAACATGTGAAAATTGTCGAGCAGAGACAGATATAATATGGAAACTGAAGCCAAATCCATCAACCGGCCATGACTTTAATTGTACACGCGTAAACTGGAGGCTTTCTCGATCGCCTCGTGTCATCATAATTCCCGGGGTGAGTTCTCCTATTTTAGGTGGACACACAAGCAGAGAACATTTCGTATGACTAGGCACTGACTGGTTCAGTATCCACAGCTCGTTGGTGCAGGCCAGCGCGCCGAGGAGCTTGTCCCTGGCGGCGGCGACGTTGGCGCGCTGCATGCGGGCCAGCGCGAACCGCCAGTGCCTCACGCTGCCGCGGCGCAGCGCCACGCAGTACACCGTGCGGCGCAGGTCCAGCGGGATGCTGCACATACGTGTACCGTAATGGAATGAATATGCGGTAATACTCGCTGCCGGGAAAAAGATTAAAGATTTAATATTTTTAAAATCAGCAGACGAGACCGATTCAGTTCTACCTCATAAGGCAAGGGGATGTCGTTTCCCCGGAACTGTTCACTAACGCACCGGAGGATATCTTCGAGACCCTGGATTGGAAAGGACTTATTTAAAGGCATCGATATAAACGGCGAATATCTTATGCGTTATCGCTTCGCTGATGACATTGTCAACGTGGCAGAATCGCTGAAGGATCTGCAAAAAATGATGCACATTCCGATGCTGCGTCGAGACGTGTGTGTATCGGATGAATTCAGACAAAACTCAATGATGTTCTACACACATGTTATCCCAGAAACCGTTTTTGTCGATGGACCAGCAGAGGGCAGCTGGGCTGAGCAGCAACAAATATGGAAACATGGAAGGTTCCCTAAAAGATAAAGTCCGGAATGAGGTCGCCCGACAGAAGACTAAAGCGATGGATGTTATTCAGAAACGTAACAAGTTGAAGTTGAACTGACGACCTGGATGAAGACGGCGGGAGATCGTGTTTTGTGGCGCACTCTGAGGAAGGCCTACGTCAAGATATGATTTTGTATGATAATATACATAAGGTATTTGGCGCACAAAAATAATGTATTCGAACCATTTGTAATATCGCACCAGATGAATTATTTGTTTTGTTTGTATAACGGCAGGTAGATATTCAAATGTGTATCACGTTCTTTACTCACGGGTTCTCCTTGTCGGGGTCGCTGGTATCCATCCACTGCTGGAACAGCTCGATGGCGTTCTCCTCGCATCCTGGCACCTTCATACGACACGCCCATTGTGACGTCATCACCTAAATACAACCAGTGTTATTTAAATTATATATTAAATGATATAGGTTCTGTATGATTTTTCGTCTTTCTTTCACGTCATTTAAACGACAGATTGATGTGATTTTTTGTAGGCAGACATTGATAAGATTCGACTGTGATATAGAACATTTTTTATCATACTGTCTATAAATTATGATAATCAAAGTCTACATAGTGCATCTGAGATTTTTGAGATTTGATTCTAATAACAAATAGAACAATGGTGCCTTTAAGGCATTTATCAAATATGTCCTTATGTACACACCAACTGTTCGCTTTTTAAGCTATAATATCAATACAAAGGTTTTATGCTTGAGAACGCCTAACGCGTACGAATAAAAAATATTATACCGAGAGACTAAAACAAGTGGTCTAGTAATCTCTATATATTTCAATTAACCTGCAACTTGACGCTATTCAAGTTGTCTCCGTTAAGTATTTTCTTGACGGCGAGTCCGCCTGCGCGCTGGTACGTGTCCGTGATCAGTCGCCGCATGTACTTCTGGAAGGCTCCATACTCCGGGGACCTGCTCAGGACATTGTCTATTGTGCCCAGAGCAGTCAGACCCGTCGTCAGCGGCAGCACTTCGTTCTCCCGCTTCAGATAACTCGCCAATCTACCACACGGAAAAAGTATTCAAATATAATTAATTTATTCAACATCATGTGGTTTCGAATAGACTATTGAAATTATGAAAAGTGCCATCGTTACTAAGATTAATGTTATATTAAAAGAATCGAATTAACCTCGATGGACTTTTATGACTTGCGCAAAACGACAGTCAACTTGTTGACAACAACCATTTAATTTGACAATACTCTCCGAATGCATTCTACTGGGAGCCAATACGTAGGAAGGGATAGAAAATAACAAACGGTGACTGACTCGAGAGCAATGGAGTAGTCGAGTCGGTTGGTCCAGGCGAGCGCGAACGCGTCGGAGAGCAGCTGCACGCGGCCCAGCACCGGCACCGACGTGTACCGGTCGCTGTTCAGGGCGTTCGACAGCAGCATCCAGTTCTTCTTGTCGTAGTTGACGCGGTACGGAGCTGGGAAACACAGATTCGTCAGTATTTATCACTCACAAAATTGTAAAAAAAAATAGAAAGCTGTCAACGAGCACAGCACATACTTTCTCGCCAGTCACACAAGACTCGTCGGTTGCCGGTCTTTTTCAGAGTGGCTTCAGCCGTAGATTTACGAACCGAGGCGGCGCGTTTTATTAACTTACACTATGTGTTTGTGCTGAGAGAAAACGATTTCAAAAATATGAATTATACAAGCTACCTACATTGTTCTTCATCGATACATCGGTCGATCTGTTCGGAAAAGAAACAGGGAGCGACACGATGGTATCGATAGTTTTCTCACCGAGCATATCGTAGTTGAACAACACCCACTGTTCGGGTTGGGAGTTGTGCTTGAACTGGTGCAGCGAGGAGACTCCGTCGGTGTCGCTGAGCCACTGCAGGTCCTCGGCGGCGGCGGCGTCGGCCTCGCACAGCACACGCAGCGGCACCCACCACGAGGAGCCCGTGCCCGACCGCGCGCTCAGGGACAGGTAACGTTTCTGACAACACCACACACATAGTTACCATTACAAACTATACATCGTTCGATTATTACCTTAGAGTAGTGATTCCCTAAGTGATCCAGGTGGACCCCCAGGGGTCCACGAGGGATTCAACGGGGGCCTACGTTGGCGTGAAAGAAAAATAGGGCGCCAATTTCCATCGTTGGATCTTCACATTTTGGACGAATTTTGGAAATATGGTAAAAATTTAGTAGCAGGGTCCCCCGAAACCAGTATTTTTTTTTAAATGGTCTACGAGAAAAAATTGTTTGGGAACCTCTGCCTTAGAGCACCCCAATATATTTCACGAAATTACCTTTTACCACGAAATTATGATACAAAAAGAAGATGATGACGAGTAATGTAGATGTGTATGTTGAGTTAACAAAGGACGACGCAAAATTTTCATAAAATATTTGTTCAATCACATCGAAATATAAAACAGTACTCTATTTATATATAGACCCTCTACACATGGACACATACTGATTTTAAGTATCAGCATCCCGGGCATAGCGAATATTGCCTATAGTTCCCATATTGTACATTGGCCACCAGCCACGTTGCCATAGTAAAAGTCGTCAGCGCGGTGTGCGGACAAATGGCGGGACAAGCAGAGTTTGTTCTTAGTGAAAAATATTAATTAAGAGATGTTTATTATGTTTCGATTATAACTATAATACTATTAGTGACGTACTAGCTTTCAACTATCCGTAGACGACGAGTTTAGATGCTCGATTTTTAGTTATTTGGGATAACCTCAAAAATGTACCTGAAGGGAAAACCGGATTGGGTAAAGTGGATACCGTATTCATTTTGCCCGGTAACGACAAGTTATACAGTTTTGTAGCAATACAGACTTTATTGCGTTTTTTCCATTGTAAATGATGTATAAATATAACGAATGACAATAAAGAGATTCTGGAGTAAATAACCATCCAGGGTGCTATAAATTTATGGTTGGAGGGAGAATCTATTAGAGTATACCAAATATGTACATACCAAAAGTGGAATTGCTTCTCTATAGTTCGGTCAATTTAGTCCTATATTCACGGAGAATCAAGAAAATGAAACGGATACTTATCTACGACTTGACTTGACTTTATTTTATTTTGAACGTTTAGTTCCATGTTAAATAATGTTTTTGTTCGCTTTGCCTTAGTACCGAATCCATTTTATACGAGATGCTGGGCAAAGTTGATATTTATACCATTGTAGAAAACGGGTCTATATTTATTAGTTGTAATGATATTAAGGAAATTTTATTTTTATAAACATACGTTTCAATTTCCCCAGATGTAATTAAACAATAATTAAGAAAAGCCTAAGGTATTCACGTTGTCCCGTTTCCCCTACCCTGCTCGTTGTTAAATTTATCTATCTATTGCATTTAATAATTTACATACAAACATTGATTTGTCTTAAGAATAATTTTGATACCGTCAATAAGATTTAGATTTAAGGCATAAACTAAATTAAAATTCAGTATTGTTTATTCAGTCTAGGCTGTTCCAAGCACTTGTGAATGTCAAAAGCTGTGCCATTGCTTCGCAAATCGACGGCGGGAGACGGGAGTACTGAGAAGAACCGGTAACAAACAGTTTCTATTTGGGAGCTAGATAAAATCTAGATTTTATCGATGGGTTGCTAAAAAGGGTTGCTAAGACATTTGTTTATGAACACGTGATTTTAATTAATGACAATCACTGTAGGTACGTATGAGACGTTAATTCGCAATGTTACCTGTGCTATAGTGAGCGACTGATCGGTGTAGTCCCTGGTGACGGTGAGGATCGGGTAGCCGGTCTGCTTGGTCCACGTGTCCATCACCTGTTTCACCGTCATGTTGCCGGCCAGTCTGCCGTGCATGTGGCTCACGTGCGTCAGCTCGTGCCACAGGTCGTCTTGTTCCGCGTTTTTGTATGAATACTTGATGAGGTAACTGTATGTGTAACATCGAGAAATTAGTGCATACGTTAATAAATAAAGTGACAATAAAACCTGGTAAAAACTTGAGTTTTAAAAATTAATTAATATTATTATTGTCTAGTTGGTATATATTTGGTGCGGATGTTACAATATTTATACTTGAAATCCTCACTTGTGTAAGGCCTTTTTGAAGACGTCTTCCCCAAGGAACATGGTCATCATTCTTATGAGAGTAGACCCCTTCTTGTAAGAGATAGTATCAAAGATCTCCGAGATACGCTTTGGATCATCAATTGGCACTGATACCTGATGGAAATATAAAGAAAATATTTAAGTTACATTACGTCTAATACACTATATTCCTCAAACTCTGTGAAGTTGCTGTAGTACTTGTTTATGGAAGTCAGCCTGTGGCCTACGTAAAGCGCAATTTCAAACTCATTTCCAGTTAATCTTTGCTACCACGTGTAGGTCAATAAAGTTGAGCATTGTTTGTCACTTCCAAACCTTTCAGGAATGCTTTCTCAATTCGTTAATCGGTTCCCCATGATGTCGAAAGGAAACATATTATATGCTTGTATTCAATAAATTAGTCTTCGAATAGTAGAAGATCGTTGCGATGTATCAAAGGAAAGTACATAAACTAGATGTATAGAAAAGCTGTGTATGATACTCACGGGATGCGAAGACTCCAAGGCGTCCAGTTTAAGAATAGACATGATATTCTCGACCGCATAACTCCTGTCCGCTCTCCAATTGGGCTCCACGGCGTCGACGCCCACGGACGCCATAAATGTAGCGAACCCTTCGTTCAGCCACAGATCCGACCACCACTTCATCGTCACCAAGTTGCCGAACCACTGATGGGCGAGCTCGTGGGCAATCACCTGCACAATATTTATTTTATAAACTGAATTTTTGCATGCATACTTTAGAATTGTTATTTCTTCTACAGCTCGTACGAATTAACACGACAAAAATACCAAAAATTTTTAACCGTTCACATTAATAGAATTCATTACAATTGGTTTTAAAATTATATATTTCATGCGTTTTAATCAGTCAAAAATTCTTTGAGAGAATAATAACACTTGTTGATGAGAAACCCAGTCAGTTCCAACTTTAAAGTAGCTAACGTATTGATACATGTATTTTGTTATATACTTATACGGGATGCGTTACAAAATATGCTATCACTTAACGGCTTTGTATTATGTTGAACTATCCTTGTGGCGTGCTCTTGTGAAGATTATAATATTCATTCTAATTTAACTGGACTGGTCACTATGTCCTTGGTCATGGGCGATTTTATTGATATATCTATTTTTTTTATTCTGGTCCTGTATTTTCTACTGTCCATATTATGTTAATAGCAAATATTTTTATTTTTCTATTAGGTCCTCACAACAATGATTATACTAAAGCTACACTTAAAATTATATCATAAGCAGTTTTATACATATACTTAGTGTCCCATTACTTAAAGGAGGGCACCGCTTGCATTGATAAATCAGTACACTGCTCCCACAAATAAGCGTTCCAGATGAGCCACAGTAGCACACTTACGGGTGATTCCGCGGAAACTGAACTTTGGATTTGATACATCCATCATTATCGTTATTCAAAAGTAACGAATCTTGACTTAATTGTCCCGATAAAATTTTTAAATTAAGAAAGTAGATCAGGTCAAATCCCATTACTAGATTTTTTTTTAATGTTATATCTGCTAAGTATTTTTCGTAGTGATTCTAGTGTAGATATATGAAAATGTTTTGAATGGTCCTATATAGTTTGACTTTATTACTTAATCTGCATGGAAATGGCAAGTGCCTCAAAAAAATTATTTGCCACCTTTCGCTGTATATGTACTTTGGAAGCAGGTGACCGGGTTATACTAAAATATTCCAGATAACTGACTAGTGAATTGTGACCACCTTAATAAGAGGCACCAAGTATTAGATAACGTTTCGAACGTATACTTATTTGCTAACTTGGCCCTACTGCCAATTTACAGATATCGCACCTCAGCCACCCTCTCTTTATTCAAGAAAGAGGATTGTTGTTTGTCGTATAGCAGAGCGGTCTCCCTGTAGGTGATGAGACCCCAGTTTTCCATGGCGCCGGCGGAGAAGTCAGGTATCGCAAACATGTCTTGCTTCGGAAGCGGGAACGACACGTTGAAGAATTTCTCGAAGTGGGTCAGCACACGAGGACCGATGTTCGCTGCATACGAGGTCTGATGGATATACATGATTGATTAATAGTCTTATTGATGTATTAGGTCGAACAAATTTTATTAAATATCACTTTATTAGAGACAGAGAGAGTGTGTTTATATTTTTTATTAGAAAACATAACTCAGATTCCAAGTTAAGTAGCTAAAATCCGTCGAATTATGGAGTATCTGGTATAACGGAGTATCACAATACTCTGACCAGAAACAATATGGAAAAGTTTATTTGCTACAATTACCTGACCGGAATCGCACCCGGAATCTCACAGATGGCGACACCTTGAAATCGGCGCGCGAAGAACATACTACGGAGTCGTCGTATACATCTCTGTTTTTTATATATAAATTCAATGTAACATTTGTGTTCGCGTAATTAATTATAGTTTTTAATCGTAATAATAATATGAAAACAATATTATTAAAATATATTATAGGTTAACAAATTCAAAGATTTTTTTTAAAATTCAAATCTACTGTTATAGAATACTGAGAAATGTTTCTGTAGTGTACAAGAATTTTTAGATTATAAGTGAAATGTAATTTTAGTTTTTATATAATTTATCAAAAATTTGTGATACTCATGTTTTGAATTAACAATAAGATCTGTTTTTCGGCTACCTTGTTTTATTATATCTTAATGATTGTTAGAAAAAATGACATTATTAGTTGGCAAGCAGGTAAACGAGAAATATGAGGATAGCAGATTATATCAGTTAACGTTAACGTGTCGTACCTGATCAATCGCGTCGCTCCTAGCCCAAATCCTGAACTTGGTGGTGGAGAGATCGGCGGGACTCTCCACGTGCGAAAAGTTGGACACCACGAACGCCACCAGGTACGTGGACATCGGCACTGACTCATCGAACTCGTCCCACACGAACTGGGATATATTCTTCCTGCAAATATCAACATCGTACGAGTTAACATGATACCCGAGGGCTATTTCTATTTGTCCTCGAACGAAATTTCGGGAAATTTCAAATCTGTCTTATAATTTTGTTAAAATCATTCCGTGAAGATGTGTGTGCATCAAAGGCAATGTCAAGTCCTATCTCCGTTGCATGTAAAATGTATTTCTGAAATGATGCTGTGTTAGCATTTAGAAAGAAATAAGTTAATTGGAGATTTTCCACTTTTGAAGTTTTAACAGTGAAACATTATTTTTACTTATTGACAAGGATTCATTCTACTTTATTATAACATTCGATCAGATGTCTCAGGGTACCGTACCTGATTCATTGCTTATCTAAATGGTATAGCATAAAAATAATTCAGGTTTACGCACCGACCTCGGCACACTCAGACGATGAGGTGTCCAAATACAGAATAAGAAATCTGTGCCCATTCAGCTATGCAAAGGTGTGACACAGCGCGATGTCATATCTCCGAAACTGTTTAAATGCACACTGGAGGATATGTTCAAGACGCTTGACCGGAAAGGAATGGGCATTAACATAAACGGCGAGTACATCTCGCACTTGTGATTTGCAGTGAGTGAAAGTAGTGATCAACAACCACATAGATCCAAGACCTATCGTAAATAAACACCAACTCGAAATTGTTTCCGAATATACCTACGTTGGATAAATTCTGCAGCTAGGCTGAAACGATTTCGAAAAGGAGGATCCAGCTGGGGCTAAAAGGGCGATCCTGCTGGACTGGCCAGCGTTTGGTAAGCTACGTCGAATCTTTTCATCAAATCTGCCATAATACTTAATGACGAAAGTTTTCGATCAATGCATTCTAGCCGTCATGACCTATTGTATTGAAACGTGCCCACTGACAGTACGGCTGGTCCACCAGTTCAAATTCGCTCAGCGAGTTATGGATAAAATCCGTAATTATGGCATCCGACAGAGAACCAAACTCATCGACTTAGCATACAGGCTTTGTAAGCTGAAGTGGCAATGTGCTGGCCATGCCTGTCGACGAATCGATAACCGATGGGGTGAGGGAGTTCTAGAGAGTGGAGACCTAGGTAGAGCGATGATTTGAGGAAGGTCGCTGGCAGGGGATGGATGAGAATAACCCAAAATAGGGAAAAATAGATCATATTGTGAAAGGTCTATGTCCGACAGTGCACTGCTATGGGCTGATGATGATGATGAAAAGATTCGAAATCTATCGTCTAATTCTAAAAATACGTTTTTTAAACCAACACTTAAATACCTACTTCTTTTTAAAAACTTAACAATTTTGATGATGCTTTCTGTGTAGTGTAACATCTCGCTATCAGTCCCAATTAAATGTGCAAAAACTAACAAGGAAATTGATTATGTAAAGCGTAATGATGCCAGCGGAATGTGGCAATGCGCAGATTTTCGACGGCGACACAAAATCTCTTACATAAGTTTATGCTGTAGTTATCATTACAACTCAAAGTTTTACTTCATAAATGAGCTTGAGTTTTATTTTGACCGTTTTTAAACATTTCATTGAAAGTTTTGTAACTACATATAACCTTTATGCTAATGAACTTTATATTCACTATATAAAGAGCATTATGTATATTTTGATATAAACACAATAATGAATTAATTCATGTGTCCATTTTTTTTTAATAATTTCCTTTTTATAAGCACTCATGTGCGTTGTGATTACAAAGAAAATTAGGTAATAATTAATGTTTGCTTACTGATCTTCATAAAAATTCTCTTGATCTATCCCATCAACATCTGAGGTTAAAAAACGCTATTTATTACCTATAATAATATTATAAAGAGGAAAGATTTCATGGTTTGTTTGCATCGTATTGGCTCCAAAAGTACTGGACTGATTTTAAAATTGTTTCACCCACAGGAAGTTACGTCATTTTGCATCAAATACCAGTTTTTCTTCTATATTATTATATATTTTTAACTGAGTCGTTATTTTCCTATTTATAATGAAAATAACGAGGAGTTTGTGGACTATTTTCTATTTATATTATTATTTTTGACTACACTTACCCGAACTTCTGTTGTACGATTTGCCAAGGCCAATATTTCTCCAAAACACTGCAATTTTAAAATAAAATCAGATCTATTGATAAGCAAATATGTGACTTAATCATGAATTAATATAAATAATTCATTTCCGAGATATCTCATTGCAATTAATAATTAAAAGCATTTAAACATACATTTTGATCAAAATTGTAATTTTCTAGTAATGTTATCATTCTTTTTTTCCCTTGTGTGGCGTCAGCCATTATACGTAATAAAATCGATATAATATAAAGGAATCAAAAGATAACTGACTTCTCCTCGATCCTGGACTTGAGCGGCATGTTGGAGACGGCCGTGAACTGCTTGTGGTGTCCCAGAGTGATACGATAAGTGGCTTTGTACATCGGCTCGTCGAAACATGGGAACCCCTTGCGGGCCGATATTGCTTCGAACTGAGTCGTTATCAGGTACCTGTGCAAAGTAATATTTAAATTTAGGGAACCATTAGCTTCGTGATATAAATAAATGAATGAATATTCTGCAATTTAAAAAAATAAAACTTACTCTGTTACTTTAGTCAACCGATTCACGTAAGAACTGATATAGACTCCATCCAATCCCTGCTTTAAGTTCCCGTAGAACGGTATAGTGACAGTGTAATTGACGTCAGTGTCCAACATCCTGTCCAGGGTGATAGTCAGAAAGTCGTAGGTGCTATTTATTATCGCTGACTTTGCCGTCGGCGGGTTCTGCTGACCCGAAATAAGGATTGACTCGCTAGTGATGTTAAAATCTTTAGCGTGGAGTATTATCTTAGATGTAGGCTTGTTGGCTGCCAGCTGCGAATAAAGTTTGTATGATGAAAATAACAATTCTTCCTATGTAATTAAGGACTGCTCTCCTTGTACTTTGTCGCAATCTAATGTCGTTTCTTTGGTAATATTGCATTACATTTGATATTTTTCTGGTAGTTCCTTATTAATTTATTTACGTAAGGGTTTTTGATCATATACAGATCAAAAACTCTACAAGGAGGAAACAAAAGTACAAGGAGAGTAGTCCATTAGAGGATTCCATTGGAAATGCCTAAATAGTTTAGTGGCCGTTTTTCTTTCATCATCTATATACACTTTACTACATAGTATAAAACAAATTCGCTTTCTCTGTCCTTATGTATGCTTAAATCTTTAAAACTTCGCAACGGATTTTAATCCGGTTTATCTAATAGATAGGATGTTTCAAAAGGAAGGTTTCTTTTGTATAATACAAGTACACGCGGGCGAAGCCACTGGCGGAAAGCTAGTCTGATATATATTGAGATGTTCCCTCGTGGTTGATACATTAGTTCACCACCAGCCCTTTCACGTCCCCACTGCAGGGGCTCAGGCCTTCCTTATGGATGGTTAAGGAGGATGGGCCATGACCCTCCACGCTGGCCCAATGCGGATTGGAGGGTATTAACGACTGCAAATGCAACCGGGACCAACGGCTTAACATGCCTTCCGAAGCACGGAGTAGCTCAAGATAACCATTTTTTGGTCACCCATCCCGTGGCCGACCCTTGCGAAAGTTGCTTAACGACTACGATCGCGGGCCGCGGCGCTTATCCACTACGCCACCGAGCTACTCTACATTAGTTACATATTTTGATTTACAATAAACACAACAAAATATTAATAGTAGAATAAAATAATTTATTACATGTTCGTAATTATTTCTTCGGGTAATTCATTTATAAAAAAAAATACCTATACATTTCAGTGTTCTATCGGCCTTCAATTGACGACAAATGCAGATTTCTCTTTGTAACATCAAACATGCTTTTGAATTCACTTACAAGTTTTAACTCTATAACCACCTTGTTAAGTATTAAAATTGTTACACAGTATTGAAGGTGATGTAAATACTACTTGTGTTTAGAAAATGGCCCGTTTGATTTCATTGTCCGGACATTGTTAAATAAATTATAATGTATTTTCTGAATTACACAATGCAATTTTTCTAAGTAGAACACGTTTTTCATTGTTTACGTAACACTTCAAACATAATTTTTTTTTGAGTTTATTATTGGCTTGTTTCCTTGAGGTGGTAATGGGTTTGGTATTCATTGAATAACGACCTCGAAGCTTAGGCTCTAGCCCCCAGAAGCTGGCATACAAACTGGAAATTCATTTTCATTTTTGAAGTTGTTTACCCACTAAATTTTTTTGTACGTTTTAAAAAGCGCCACCATTTCTAGTTTTTCCACAATTTCCAATAGAGAAGTGCAATAAAAAAGTGTACTCTCTTCTCAAAATATTTTGAGTATATTTCTTTGACGTTAACATGTTCTCGGGTAGAGTTGACAACCCTGGTATATTGTTATCAGTCAGGACCTAGCTTTGAACGTAATTTTTAACGTAAATTACGTTCAAAACAAGACAAAAACCATAAAGTTTTCAGTCAAATAAGATCGTTACAATTGCTAAAATATAAGTTCAGCGAAGTTTTGGGTTGAGGTCTTAGAACCACTTTGAACGATCATTAAAAAATTTCTATTGTTACTTATTGCAAAAGAAACATTATAAAATTTAATCACGTTTAGCGTGTTGTTTAAGGGAAAACCTTCTCGAGTGAGCATTATACACGATGATACGCCGCAAGCATAGTAATTGTTAATGTTATTATTATATTTATTTATTTCAAAGACATTGCAAAACCTGAACTACGTACCTTTTGTAATTTCAGATATTTTAATACATTATATAACGAAAATATTTTCGTTAAATAAGCTTCCTGACAACTTCCTCTCTGAATATCTCGAAAAGCAATCCATGGAAAGGCTTGAAATTTGAATATGAAATTTCAAAAGTAGATCTTATATAGGTAAGTATTACGAGTGTATCGAAACTTCAACCGGTAGGTAGGCACGTCTCATTTTCTAAAAAGTTTCAAGTTTAATAATACATATTAACAGTGAAATAAATATTCATAAAGTAATAATTCTCATACCGGATAATTTTTACATACATAAAAGGTAGTATCATATTTGCTAATGAATTTCCTTATAAATAACGATAATGATACAGTGATTGTACACTTAAAAACTATATAGGTATTACAATATTTAAAAAAAAAACATTATACACATTGTCTGGAGTGATCACATTTGTTGTTTGGTCGTTTAGTGATCGAGTCATCATAGCGGTTGACCCTGACTCCTCACTTAAGGTCGTGGTTTTCTAAGGACCGATCAAATGTAAAAATATGTAAATACTTTTGATATTTTTACTAAGAGGATAACGAAGTTTATAAAATTACCTACCTAACCTTTCCATTTTTGCCATTCCTTTTTAAAAAGATACTTTTTACTAACACTAGCTATTTATAGCACCGAGGGACAGAAATAAAAGTGAAAATATTAACAGGGTAATTTAATAATTAATAATTAATTTAGTTAATTAAAAAAGCAAAGGAGATTATTTGATCTCGGTGGAAAACTAGTCATAAAAGTGTTTCGATGTTGCCTAAAGCTCTACTCAACGCTACTCAACCTCTACGGGATAAGATATATATATATAAAAGGTAATATTAGTGACAAAGTTGATTTTTAAGCATATTCCATTACGATCATAATTATGTTATAAATTAAGGTAAATTGTTTGTGGACAAATAAATAAGTGAACACAAATTTTAGATCTGTTCGTTTAGTGATGATCTTGAGGTCGATATGGGTGGCAAATAATTGAAGATGGAGTTCAAAAAGATCGATTTTCGATAAATTCGAATCAAATAGGGAGAGAGGGGCATGAACTACCACAGGGATCTAGCGGGTATCGACTGTAGATACAGCCGGGACGCGCCTTCTGAAGCACGAAGGTGTTCTTCGCTATAATCCATTTCTGATCACCTATCCTTGCGAAAGTTGCTTAACTTCTACATCGCAGACCAAACGCGCTAACCAATATAAGACTCGTGTGTATAATATTAAATGTATGTCTTAATATTTCTGATTTTATCATAAATTATATCCAGCAATTATAACTCAGTAAATGGGTATTTGGATAATTTTATTGCACAATACAATAAATTTACACAAAGGGAAATAAAAATAAATGATGAATAACGTTTTACACAATAGGACAACATTGATAAATCATTTTAATATACATTTGTTAGTGACAACATTATCAAAACAAGCTAATGAAATGTTTAGAACATTTCGCATGTCCAACAGGAATTGCAGTTCTTAAATTTTACAGAGATAGGTTATTTTTTTTTAGATAAATGTCTTCAATGTATTAAAATATAATGTAAAATTTATTATTAATGTCTTTTTTTTTCGGCTACATACAGGAATAATTTAAAACCACTGCGAAGATTTTGTGAAAATAAACTTTAAGTAATTTAAACAAACACGTATTTTTTATTTTGATATGTTCCAATACTAAAAAATAAAGTTATCGCTTATCAAAGATCGAGATTTTAAAACCTAATTTATGGACACCGCGCGCCGTGCGTCAGCTGACCGCTCTCGCTCGACCCCGTAGGCATGTACTCGTAGGTACCTATCTACACGGGTCGCTGACCGCTCATTTTGTTAGATTCGAACTAGATTTTATGCCATGATCTGAGGTGATTTCTAAGAGTAATTTCAATTTTCCCTTCATACTTTTATGGTTAAGGCCATCAAAATGCAAAAAAATAAAAGAGAAACAAATTCGTTACGTAGAAAAAAATATTAACGTTATACCGAAGTTACATAGGCACTTCTGCATTAAGGCGTATTTAAAAAAATTGGAATCAACTACGTATTTACAATAATGTGAAAACAAATACCTAACTAATTACTTACCATTCATTAATATTTGTTCAAAATGAAGTCCACGTCTGTCCAGACATAAACATGCACATTTCATTTAATTTATTTAAAACACTAGTGTCACTTTTCACTTCACTAAAAGCGTTATTATTTTTTATTGTTAAGTCTTCTAGAATTTGTGCCTCCTCTACATCCCGGCGTTTGACTTCTTCCCATAAGGAACAGTCCCTCACGTGTGAACAATGCCTCATCCTTCCACAAGATGTTTGCATCGCGGTGATGTAGAATTCACTCACAAAAGGCTCGACGTGGTACTGGGTCTAGGTCATGGAACTGCTGAAAATGGTACGGATGGAGTCCGGCTGTTTTTAGCAGCTTTAATACCGCAGGCTGGCTCACACCAAAGAGACATGCCGCATCGTGGGTACTGACTCTGGGACTTCGTCTGTTGAAATGGTTCGAAGCATTAGGGACCGCGGGGTTACGGATCCCAAAGGCCCGCATACGAGATATGCTCTTCGTCGCATACTTTCTCCGAATTGTGCTTATGTAGGTTCTCACCACTCAGAAGATAAACTCGTACCATCTCGTAAAACTCACGACGGCGGGCGCGTCGCGTGCGCGGGAACGCGAGGGCACGTCACATCGGCGCGTGCGTATGAGTCTCACTGTCGCGCGCGTCGCTCGGTCCCGGCGGGGCGGTGGGGGCTGTGGCGGGGGGCAACCGGGTGCGGCGGGGATACACGGTGGTATACGCAAGAGAAGACGTTTTCATTGAAGTTTTATTATAAAAAATGTGTCCATATTCTACCGTTTCGATAGGGATAAAAATATTTAAAAAAAAATTTTTAACTAATTATGGAAAAGTGTTCTATTACTGATACTGAATCACCAAAAAAAATTTTTGCACTGGAAAAAAAATATTCCTGTATATTTTGTCTTCAAAAAGAGATCGTATGAAAAAAGCTTGATATTTTTATTAGATTTCCCCTTTTTGTGTAGGCTTAGTAGTAAGTTTTTATGTTCTCTACCGGCTTCTACTTCATTTATAGGGTGTATATTTATTAATTGGTTTTAAAATGACGTTTTTCAATATTTGAAATTACGCCATTAATCGGACGAATGAGCGATTAAATTGTTTTTTATTCAAATAAGCTCATAGAAAGCACTTTTCAATCATTAGTATTTAATTTTTTATTTAAATCGCGGGTGGCGTCCCTAGAAGTAAGTTAAATACAATAACTCTGCCATGTGGTTTCGTTTTTTGACCAATCGACTTTATAACAAAAATAAGGACGCTCCTAAATGGTCTAATTATGTCAATATTTATTTATGTCTAGTCAAAACTATATATCCACGCCGTATCCCTTGCGAGGTAGCAGAGAGGACCGAACCTCACACAGTGTACGGTATATCAGTTTTGTCATTCTTCGTTTTCTTGCTACATGTCTGAACCAACGGAGCATGTTTCTGTTGATATTTACACCGACGCTATATTTCAAGTGAATTCTCTTTCTTATCTCTTCATTCTGAATGCCGTCTGCGGGCGTTATTTTTATTTGATAGAATATAATCAATTTTTTATCGAAATCTCGCTCGCAATGTTCGCGGCCCACCTAAACTCTACATCTTAGTCAAACAGCTTGACAGTTTTATTTATATAAGTGTGAAAGAAATTATATTTACAACGAAAGTCCTGAAATTTTTATTTATTTGCACGATGAATTTGCATAAAAAATAATATAATATAAATATCTGGTGGCACGGAAGTGCTCCCGCCAAGTCGAGCAAAAAAGTAAATAGGGCACAGCCGTATCATCCTTTTCTCGAGGCTATTCGGGTCATTTTGACCTTTTTATATATTATCGATAGTTCAACAGACATAGAAAAATTATATAACACTAGCTTTTCGCCAGCGGCTTGGCCCGCATGGTCCCTTGGAAAGTTTATTTAGATATTGATTCATACCACGACACAGATATAAGTACAATGTCAAATTGAACAATTAATAATGGTAACTATGGCAACGTTTTAATTGCATTTACAAACTTCCACTCAAAGTCAAAATAATCTTCATTCAAATAGACTTCTTAAAAGTACTTTTCAATCGTCTAACATTTTTTTTCGCTACCACTCGTTCAGGACGTCTTTTTGCTGATAAGAAGAACGAGAAAGAAACTCACCAGCTCTAATAGGAGTAATGACATTCACAAAAACCATGTCATTACCAGATTAATACATTACTAATAGAGTGAAAAAAAAACAATGGTCTTATAATGATAATATAATAATTTAATAATAATGGGCACTCACATTGTCATCCCATTATTTGTTGTTTTTTGGGATAAAATATAGCCTATTTTCACCGCATATGATGTAACAGGCCGTGGGTGAAGTTTCGCGGCCTATTCGTTGCAAATCAACGAACAAACAATCAAATCTTTTCTCTTTATAATATTAGTGTAGACCTTTACTGACTATAGAACTGCAAAACTTATTACAAAGTTCCCGAAGACTATATTTACATAAAGATACATAAAGCATAATCTGTTTATAATACTCGTTGCACATAGAAATCTTTTGATTTTTCACTGATCTAAACAGGACATCAAAATACTTATTAAGGTGATATCTGATGAAAAGCATATTTTGTTTTGTTATAAAAAGAAAACTAATGAATCGATCTCGATAAAATTGAAATGGGGCCACCTCGGCCCATTAAACTATCGAATAAAATAATAATTTTAAAAACTATTTATAATTGGCGGAGTAATAGCGTTACAAATATACAAAATTTTTCTTTAACAAAAAATTATTGATATTAACTTATTGTGTTTCTTTGAAGTCGCTTTTTTACAAAAGACTAAATGACAGTTAGGTCACGACACGAGGTCCGTATGGTAATTCCTGCTTTGTTTGAAGAGATAACGGTATCATGTAAATGGTTCTTTAGTCTTGTATAACTGTTTATAGCATTACATACACTATGCCCTGAATATTATATTAACTACCTATTTATTTTTGGGACAAGTCTCATTACTGTTAACTAATAATTTTTATAAGATAATAAATATCAATTTTAACATTAATTAGCGAACATAACATCATTGACTTGTATGACATAATAACATGCATTGATTACTAATTTTAAATAACTCAATTATGAATGTGTGTATTGTCCTAACGAATTATTTAAGAACCATTAGCTTTTCGCAAGCGACTTTGCTGGCGCGCTCCTGTATTAGGGTAATAGTATGTATACAATTAACCATGCTCTTGACTCACTTTGTATATTGATGAGAATCATATTAAAATTCATTGTGTAGTTTAAAAGTTGTCAGAGTACAGACAGCGCGAAGCGACTTTATTTTATACTGGGAATAGATGTTTTCGTCAACTAGGACGACGTTCTTCTATTAATAAACATTTATTTTTTATAAATATTTTTGTGTTTGATTAGTCAGTTGCAATTCATTGAACCAGTGCGAGAATCTTTCCTTAGACCATGGATATGATGATCAGAATCGCTCACCAGAATATCGACCACCCCGTAGTATGAGTAGTTGGTGGCAGGATCCAGGTCGTAGGTGACACGCAGGTCGTAGTGGGAGGGCCGCACGTCCCCCGGCAGCAGGAAGCTGCCACCGACCAGCTGGAACACCGCAAGCCATGATATGGCCGCCTGCCAATACATTTTATCTGGAAACAAAAACGTTCATATTATTTTTATTGACTTAAAACCTGGTAAATATTTAATATGTATGGCTTTGTAACTATTTAATGTGTATGCTACTGGTGTAGCTCGTGAGTCAAATACGAAATTAGTAGAAGGTTACTAATGTTTTTTCATTGGCACGAATTAATAGGTTTTTACAAAAAAAAATCGCTGCTACTAGTATAACAATGAGACTTTTATATTTTACCTACTAGGAATCAGTAAAGAGCTCGGTATGATTGGTGTCAATTTGTTAAAGCAGGCCAAACGGAGAACATGCCGATGAACACGGAGAGATAACATGAAAAACCCACCACCAGAGGTACGTGATTAACCAAAACCAGTGGCAGCAGCGTAATATAAGCTCATGAAAACTATTTGGATAATTTTAATGAGCATTTACGACTCTGACTGCGGGTATTGAATCGACATAATTACTCCGTAAGCTGTAGGCAATAACGTTATTATGTATGTTACATTTGCATGATTTTATAATACCAGCATATTACTTAAAGAGAAATTTAAATATGTTACTAAAACAACCATAAAACGGGGTCATAGGTAAGTATATACAACTTATGTAAACATTTATGAGTAAATAAAGATTTTATTATTATACACACGTACATAACGTGTGAAAGAGTCGAAATACAAGTATGTACCTATCTACTAATATGTATTATCAGAGTTATTAAAATAAAATCAATATATAAAATAACTTTTGAACAATTCAAATGTAATAACAATAAGATTATTATATCATATCTCTGAACATCATCAACGAAAAAATCTTTTTTTTTTTTTGATAAATCATGTCTCTACATTAAAAATACATAAGTTTGAGCGAGTTAAATAGCACCTACAATAGCTCCCAAAACTAAATCCTCAACCAAACGAATTATTCTCTTAAGGCCTGTTCGCCTCGATTTATTTATAAGTGGCACAAGTGACACGTGGTATAATAATTTACAGAATAACACAACACCTTCATTATAAATATCTGGTTTACCTCGCATATTACTTATCGACACTATTATTTGAGCAATACAAACGATAATATGTATGTAATGTGTAATTCTTCTAACATTACGCAGGACCAAACATCCCTACGCCACAGTCGAACAGTATAAAATCTCTCTACGAGTATGGTTCTGTTTTTTAAGATTTTCATCTTACTCGTTTGTTCAAATAGTGACAGAAAATAAGACTACGTATATTAACCAAATAATGGCTACACATATTACCTTTTTATTTATCCTTAATTTAAACACAATATTTCATATCTTTTGATGTACAAAATACAACTGATAAATCTCGTTGGTTACACATTATGACATCTTCAGAACAACCTATATTTGATAATACATAGAAACATATATTTTGACATAAACTTCTATCATTTTGAAATTTACAAAAACACATTTTGCATTATTGCAATAATCTAAGATTGGAACGATGTATAATTGAGTCGTCAATATGAGACGGACCTAGATTAAAATGACGAATGTTATCAAAAAAGAAAAAGATTACATATAAAATAACTCTATGATTAAAAAAGTTTTTGTATGAAATATAATATATTGTAACTCTATGGCTGCGCCTTTGCCCGCATGGAAGTCGGTTAGGGGCCATCCATAAATTACGTCACACGTTAAGGTGGGAGGGGGGAGGTCGATGAAGTGTGTGTGACATTGTGTGATAAGGGGGTGGGAGGGTCTTAAATTTCGTGACGTCATATTTCAAAATCTATTATAATCTAAGCGTTAAAACACGAACTTTAAATTATAACTTTAGAAAAACCGTGCAAAATATGTGATATCACACTAGAAGGGGGGAGTCTTACAAATGTTGTGACTAGGACGGGGGGAGGGGCAAAAAAAAGACATGAAAATCGTGTGATGTTATTCTGTGGATGACCCCTTATTATCACGCGTACATAAAACTCCTTGAAGTCTATTTTTCATGAAAAAGCACTCTACTATCTGTATACCAACCAATTTTATTTAAAATATTTTAATTTGCTGAGAGAAACTAAAAAACCATAATAATATTTACTAACAGAAAAATGAACTGATAAACTTAAACAGGTGTCAACATCATTGGAACTATAGAAATCGAGATAACGAGTATACTGAACTTTGATCTTCCATAATGCTGACACCAGATTTAAGAAAAGTTTTGGGACAAAATTTAATAGATTAAAGTAAATGTGTATCCGAGTTTCTAGATATTTTCTATCTTTCAAAGGTTGATTCTTTTTTGCTTATTTAACTTGATAAGACGAGGTCGTTGATTGAAAGTTGAATTTATTATTTTAAAGGATTTAACGAAAAATTTTCGCTTCGAAATAAGTATGAAAGTCTACATAAAGGGAAGATTTTGATTTTAATCATAAAGTAGGTGGTATACTTTGATAAATAAAAAAAATATATATTTAAAATGAATATTGAGTTTTTCAAGAATTTTTCTACGTGATAAATATGAATATTGGACTTTGAAAATATCACATGCATGTAATAAACATATTAAAACAGACCGCATATTAAAAAGTTCGATTTTAAATTGATTTGACACGTGTCTACGATACGAACATGTATTACAAATGAGTGATTCTAAACTAATACTTTATAACATGGGATCAGCTGATTACTAAGTAACATTTCCTCAATGTCGAATTGCCAAGAATTATACTATTCTAAGAAAAAAGAAGGAAAATTCAATAATATTTCATTATAAAAATCATAACAGGAAAAATGTTTCTTAAAAATGTATTTTTTCCAATAGACGGTTAAAAACACCTTCCTAGGGTTTAAAATATGATGTATTAAATGTTTATATTTTACATGTAGGTATATATTCAGATGTCCAAATTGCATTCGGCAGAGCTTTTCGATGTTTTGAATTATCATTATATTTCTTACTATTATTATCCGATATTAGTAATAGTAAGTACTTAAATTAAAGATATCGGAAATTATCGAAAACCCATAAAATATAAGGTTGAACATATATAGAAGTTGTGATTATAAATGTACAAATAAAAATGATAATAGGTTTAATAGTATAATAATTGTTATATCAGAACGTAGGACTAATAATTTTCCCTCTTCTATCCTAGAAGAACGCCATCATCCAATAAAATAGAAATATGATTGTTATTAAAGCAACTCGTAAGTTTGTGATGGATTTTACTTGCTGTATTAACATAATAGTTAATTAAATACACGACTCAAAACCAGCAGACCGACGAGACGGTCCCGATCAACCCTGAACGAACGGTAATCCTACTTATGTAAACTTATAAGGAAAGTTATAATTAAAATTGGACTTGGTACTGCGCAGTGACCTCGGTCACAACACTCGCCTTCACAATGGCCTTAAGAATGTCTCAAAATATCGGCAATAAAAAGGATAATGCTGTCTGACTGGACTTGAAACGAATGCAAATAGATAGGATTGGCGAAATCATACTCAATTTAAAGCATTCATATACTCAAAGAATATAAATATTAAACAGCATGTATACAAACCAATTCATTGTTTAGCTCTCAATCAGCTAATGGAAATTTAAAATAATGAAAATCTTGAAAGAGAGAAAATATATTTTAAGTGCTTTACATTTTCACAGATTAATGACCGCCATTTTGGACAGTCGGTAACAGCTGCTGTCCAATTTATATCAAATAATAAAAAATAACATTTTGTACGCGATTGATAAATAATTTTCTTTTTTTTTATCTACTTATTCGTTGTTTGTATAGACTCTGAAACTATTGGACCGATTTTAATAATTATTTCACAAACATAGGCTATAATTTACGCGGGCGAAGTTTCGGTAAAACAGTATTTTTTACAATGTAGATATATAGTATAGATAGATAGATGGTATGGATAGATGGTAAAAAAGATAGAGATTTGGCTACCAGGTTATTTCAAAGGAAATCACGAAAACACACCGTCACAGCCGTATATTAAAAACTAAAGTATTCTCACTGAAGTCTTACATTTGTTTTCGTAAGTCAAAAAGTATGAATGACATTTATTTAGAAAAACTGAGAATTTCGAAAATAAACATGCCAAAAAGGTTTGTGTGGCAGGTCACCAACAAATAGTTATACAGGTTCTACCTGTATACTGTGAGGTTTCTTGCTGTTGAAATATTCAGCAAAAACATAGCGAAGACTAAAAACATGCACGGGACAAACTGATGGCGAGCTGAGGTATCCACGCGTGTTTCTTTCGTATTTTCCTTTTATTTGGTTTTTTATTTTTGACTAAATTCATAAGGTATAAGGATTGTTTTTACAATTTTATATGAATATTATGTATTTTCTGTATAAAACCGGATAAAATAGTCGGCAACACCGTACGGAGGGTTCTATTTCTGTGAAATAATTGATCAGTTAACAAAAGTGTCAAGTCCAAAAAGGATAAAATGTTTCGAGAAAAAGTAGGTAGGTCTCTTTTGCTACATTCGGTTAGCTAAACTTTGGCGGACACTAGCGTATTAAATGTTTACGCAAAATTTTCGTACTACTTCGCACAGGAAATTTTCGTAAAGTAGGGTCCAAATATTTTTTGCTTCATGTTTTTTTCGCGATAAATTGTAACCTATGTCCAAAATAAACTATCCATTTAATGAATTTTATCACAATCGGACTTGAAAGCATAATAGACAGACATAGTTACTTTTGTAATGTAACTATGTCTGTCTATTATAACTATACTAAGTACAAACCGCATTTTGTACTTGGAACTAAGTGTGGTCTATATTGATATATACAGGACCTCAGCTATGACGCCCACAGAGATCGTTAAAATATATGTATTTCATATAGCACGTTTGTATGAGCTCATTCGTTCGTTAACCGTTTCATTATGCTAATTGATTCAGAAATCTCGTTCTTTGTCCACGTATGTGTACACACAATAACATTTTAAACAAGCTTCCACCAAATGCGGTGTACTGATTTATTGAA